CCATTTTAGACAAATGAGGGGCTTAAAGAAAACACCGTTTCGGACATCACATTGTGAACTGACATGGGAAAACAACTTAGTTTGGGAACCAAGTAATCTATGAGTGACAGGAACATGTTTCAGCGGTCACCTGGCCAAAATCGTCCGGACCTTGGCCTGAGTTGGTCCGACGTCCGATATACTGACCCAAGGACGGGGAAAAACGAATGGAGATGGGGTGTATGGGGGGGGGTGGGTGTGTACAAAATACTAATACAGATACAGAATGAAGTTGTATTAATACGACAAAATCTTTTGGAGTTTTTGGTCATCTGTATTTCCAGAAATATTTTATATCATGTATAAGTAAACATTGCATTGGGTGGATATCATTTTGAACAATACCACGATAGAAAATTTGACACCGTTAAAGAATTATCTTAGTATAACACTAGTATAACACTAGTACAAAATTATTTTAGTTTTTTTTGTATTGTGTATTCATATGTATACGTGAACATTGCATTGGCGTGAAAATTATTATTATACACAATATCACTATACATACACAAATTCAACTAGCTACTTGTACACAATATTCTACTGTATTTTTACAGTGGCACCTACTCAGAAAGCCCCTCTTTTGCCTCGTAACATTTATTTGGTATTAAGTTTTGTAAACTCGGTAAGAATGTTTTAAAACTCAAAGGTTAAGTCATTACAACTAAGTAGATTTTCCTTTACACTTGCGACTACTTGAGTGGGATTTTAGTGGATAATACACCACTCTGACACAACACCTCAAAGACTTCAAAATTTCTCAAACACACGGTCCGTATTTCCGTTGCTTTCTTAAAGAAAATCCCTTGACGTCAAGGATTTCTTGGTATCCATCTGTAGTTTTATGAAGAAGGCTATTCTAAGTGTTTGCATACAGGGTATAGTTTTCTCAAGCAGGGTGTTTGAAAGAAAAAGTCACGGTGTTTGACCTTCAATGCCGCCATTTTGGGCCGCCATCTTGAAACCATGACCGTTATGACGTCAGAGACAAGAATAACATGAGAGACCACATTGTTTTATAACAGCTATTTCCTGTGGTGGGACTTGTCAAGAATAGGTCGCTCTCAAGGTGACATTGGTGACCATGTGTATGGACTGTACCATTTCGTATGCGGGTAAGAACTTGTACTTATTTCTAAACTCAGAAAAAACGTGTGAATACTGATTTAATTTAAGCAAAAAAAGTTGTAAACATAATTACAAAGGCACAGAAATGCAGAAATCAGAAAGAGGAATTTGAATGTTGAATCAACTAGATTAAACTTGACAGAGAAGGACTAAAAATTTTCAATCCCTCCCTAAATTTACAAGAAATGGAATAACCCGTATGGCATTCTCCCAGTGACGCCCACAGTTATTAAAAGTTGTCTCACTTCAAAAAGGTGGATAGACGAGACACTTTTTTTGGTGAGTTTTGGCTCTTCTTTACACTATTTTACAGTCTGCATTATAATAACAATGGTTCTTTGTTTTTCTATCACTGTGGACTGAAAATTGTTACCAGATTTGAATCTTACATGTGTATATTTGTGATAATTCATTTTTCACGGTATAGATAATCTCTACTTTACTGTACAGGACTAACAACGCGGGTTCAAAATCAGTCAAATTTAGCCAAATTATCTGAGGAATTTTTTTGATAGTAGCTAGAAGGAAGAATACTTGGCCAAGAGAGTTTGGCCACCGTAGAGTTCATTTGACTCTCCTGGCCAAGTATTAATACTTCCCTTTTTGTCGAATTCTATGATAGGTACCCCCGTAGGAAGGCCTAGTGTAGGCTTTACAGTACAGTACGAAATTATTTTTCTGATTTTCGGAGGCAGTTTAGTTGTTAACATCATTGTCTCGGTGCATTGTAGTCGCAATGAATGTCTAGTTTTCTTCGTGGCTACTAGTCTTTTCCAACAACGTATATCTTTTGTTGAGATTGACACAAATGTATGTACTTGACACTGGCATGTTTAGCTTAGGGGTTGGTCATATTACGTGATGGCATTGAGGCTTTGTTGAAGGGGCAATATTTTAATGTCAAAGGGCGCAAACGGTTGTAACAAGCTATGTGGTTCTTAAAAATGCTTAGTAATTACCGTTATTTGGTACACAATAATAAAAGCAACGGCATTAAGTTTTGTGAAGTTTTAGGCAGGTCTGTGTATGTTTGTAACGTCACTACATGAAATTACCAGTAGCCGGACCTAGTACCAAGTATTTATTCTTTTATTCTCTCTCTCTCTCTCTCTCTCTCTCTCTCTCTCTCTCTCACTCTCTCTCTCTCTCCCTCCCTCCCTCTGTCCCTCTCTTAGCAAATGACGTCTTTTACGTTATTTTTGGGATAATAATCACGAATAAACTAGAGTTCGGCGATCTCATACCTCCATGACATGTTTAGCGCTTTCGTAAATCTTATATATAGTGATGACCAGCTGTAGATGGCCTACATTTACAATCCTGCTCATTTGCAAAATTCATGACCCGAGCATGTCCAGATCGCGAGATATCAAAACCGGACCAAAATTCATGACCCTAGCATGTCCAGATGGCGAGATATCAAAACCTGACGTTGCGCTGCAGTACCAAGGGAAGCCACTAGGGGGCCCAAAATCTAATTATTTCTAGTTTTTGCCACACCCTACCAACGCACCAAGTTTGAAACCAATCCGTCCAGCTGTTCTTGAGTTATTTTGTTGACCAACAGACGGACAGAATGACACCATGATACCTCCATGACATGTCATGGAGGTAAAAAAAGTTCAGTCTAATACTGTGAGGCTCGAGGTTCCCCTCTTTGGTTTCACCAGAGCTGCCTTTTAACTGCAAAGTTCCGTTCTTCTAGCTCAACTTATCCCGGCAAACGGAAGGAAATGAAAAAGAGTGCCGGACGTTGATAAGAACCAAGACGGGAGATCAAAATAAGTAGTTCCGTTGAAGTTCCGTCAATAGAAATGATGGTACAAAATTTTGGAGTACAGATTTTCGAATTGTTTTGCCTATGAAAGCCTTAAAGGCATCCAATGCAATTTCAGGGCAGCAAAGATGGATTTTTAAAGTCAATTTTCTGTCCATTCTTTTAATGTAGAAAGTTGAATTTAACTTATCCCCTAGCATGCCGATATCTGTGAGGCAAATATGTGATGTCGCTGACGGAAAACGTTTGCTTGGTTTGTATCATAGGCTGGTTCTAGCTATTTATGGGTGGTACCCAAAAATAAAGAGACCCTCACGTGGCTTGTTTTTGGGGCTATTAAACATTAAATGACGCCGAAAAGTGCTAAGAAATGACAGTAAATGTCAAAAAACGACAAATTTCCTCATCCTCTTTCTTTGTTTTGCCTCTCTGAAATTGCAATGGATGCCGTTAACAATGCGTCTTCAGTAAGGTTCATAATTTATTTATTTATTGGTTGGTTGGTTGGAAGTTTAATTAATTGATTGATTGATTGATTGATGGCAGGCAAGTATGGCATATGATGTTATTCAGGTTGGTAGATAGCGATCATATGCCCTGTCTTTTTCTATACACTTCCTAGCCACTAATCTCAACTTGCCCTAAATCTCGACCACTCTTTTATACATCTGTTGACAGCTATAGATGGATTGAAATTAGGCACGGCGTACAAGCTGGGTGTAAAAATAAACACACATATTTTTGTCCAAAGAAAAGGAAATATGGAACAGTGAAAGTCATATAGGTGCCATTGTTAGAAAAAAATGTTTATGAATATGCATACTTTATAAAATCTATAACAATTTTTTGCAAGAATCATAATGTGTATGTTGAGTGTCCAAGAAGCAATATCTTAAAGCTTAACTATGTATTGCGCTGAGTTCTTTTGTTTAGAAGCATTTTTCGGTCTTCCTCTCTCTCTGTTTCTGTCACTATCTCTCTCTCTCTCTCTCTGTGTCCCTCCCTTTCTCTCTCTCTCTCACACACACACGTTCACACACGACACAGAAACACATACACACAAACACATGCACACATATAGACACATATACACAGTGGCATACACACACGCACACATACACACTGATACATAGTAGCACATACACACACACACACATTATTCACACACAACACGCAAACACATATACACAAATACACAGTAGCACACAAACACACACACACATACACACACGCACACATATACACAAATACACAGTAGCACATAAACACACACACACAGACACAAACACACACACATACACACACACACACACACACACACACACACACACACACACATACATACACAAATACACAGTAGCACACACAAACACACACACAACGCACACACACGCACACACACAGGTAGACACACATACACAAAGTCACAATCACAAGTTCATCTGTTTGCGATTTCCACCATTGTCTAGTAATTAATGAAACGTCCCCCAACATTTCAGGCCATGCTCCTTACCTTCCCCAACACACTACCCCCATACACCACCAGCCAATCGTACCGCCCGTACTTTAAGCGCTTTTGTTCCACGTGTTTACCTTGTCAACCCCCATTCATCCCGAATGTTTTGCCGGCGAATATCGAGCCATGGAAGCGTGGCACTGACCACTTACATTTGGCGTAAATGGCAATCTACGGCATTCAGCTCCGAATCGGCGTTACACAAACATCCCGCTGCCTTTATTTAAAGTCCGTTGGGGCTTTTCAAAATAATGTGTGGACAAGCTAGCCCCCAGTTTGGGTCAAGTGATTTTCGCAAAGGCCGCTTGACTACTAGTTTTGAATAGCGATTGTCTGGTGGCAAACTTGTTATTTTGTTTGAACATGCACTTTGAATAGAACGGCAAATGTAGTGACCAATAGATAAAAATAGGTGTATACATAACGTTCTAAACACATTTTCTCTCATGTTTATCTTAACCCAAATCAGCTATCTGTTAGAGACATTGGAAATCAATTTTTATCAATTAAATGAAACATGAATTTTTCTTTCTGTTCTCCACAGCTCGGTGACTTTGTTAGTCGATAGGCCACACGAAGATGACCGAATCGTGCCGAATTTTCCCGATGTCTTGCCGACGAGGGCCGAATGTCTCCGATGTGGACGTCCGAGTTAGTCAGCACCACAGAACGCCACACGAGTAGCTCAGGCGTGCAACGGACGGTCGGATATCGTCTGAGGGAAACGTCAATCATTACCGCGGTTGAAGTCGGGTTTTTTCCGTGTACAGAACAGACATTCGGGTCTTCTCAAACGCATTTTTGGCGACTGAATCAGCGAAATGGACTGTTAGTCGGATTTTTTCCCTCCAAAAATCAGTCTTTTCAGCTATCGTCTCAGTCTTGTACCATAATAACTGAGGAAATCCTTTAATCCAACGAGGGCTGGTGCATAGCTAGCTAACCACGTAGAATTCCAGGCCAGGACCCAAGCAACTGAGCTAAAAAAAGGCGGGAACTGTGTGAGAGAAAATCAGACGACAATTTGACAGAAACTTGAAATTGCCCGCGGGGAACGAGAGCTATGGAACAAGACCACCTGAGGAACGAGTCTGAGGTAGGTTTGATCTATAATCTCTTTGTTTGTAGGATTTTCTTTTTATTGATTTGAACCTTTAGTAAATGTTGAAGGGTAAAGTTATATAATGTAATCGTTCTGATATTGGGGTCATAGTTCTTTATTTCTATTTGTCAAAATCAATTTGTTACCGAAGTGGGCATTATAAAGACTACGTTATTAGAAATTTAAAGATTTTCGTGTGGTTTTCTTTCATGAGAATGTACATTTGGCTCATTTAGGGGTTCTGCGTACAGTTATATTTATCGGGATACGTTAGAACTACTTTACAATTTCTGAAGCTCAAGGACCCTATATGAGCCTCTCTACACTAGGTGTTGAAAATACGTTGCTTTTTTTAATATTTCCAGGCAATAAGCTTTCTATATTATATACTGCAGTAGCTAAATTGTAACGGTATTTCCCGTTTGAATCTTCCACCTTTATACACGTAACTGATAGACGTCGTATCTGAACCGTATCTTAGTATATTTGTACGTACACAACTAGGATATCGGGGGATACCCATATGTAGCCATCACGGCTCAGTGGCAGTCCGTATTGGGGATTAATGGATTAAACCGTGTTAATCTAGCGTGTAATCGTTTCTGGATTATCACACAAGCTGGTATTACAAACCGTAATCGCCTCCTAAACCAGACGATAAAAAATAAACATTCGCGGATAAAAACTAGAGTTAGTTGACTTACTCTACAAAAAAGTAACGGTTTTATATTTGACGATAGAATGTCCATGTAACGTTTTTTTTTAGCATTTTTTCTTATAGTTGATGTTGTCCCCTTTTTACCCAATATTTCTGGTGTATGTAACTCTTACTACCAGAAAATCTTTTGGGAATTGTGGTACACATAGCAAGACAATGTCGTAAAATAACCTAGTTAATAATGCAAGAATTCGTGCATTTTACTAGCGCACTTTCTTGAAGTTAACATTTAAGTCTCTCACGAACAAGAAAGTAGGCGACTGCTTTTAGATTGATTATTTCCAGCTGTTTCATATGTGGTCCTTCTGTGTATTTTACTTGGAAAGAATTCCTATGTGCTGTGCCGTTACCAAGTTATGGTGCATGGAGTCGTAATGTTGGCAAAAGGGGGTGAGTAACCTACACATAGGTCGTACTCTTGTTTATTTTTTAAAATCCAGGTGGCACCATTGTCCAAAGACCGCCTCTACGCTTGGCCGGTTAAATGTTTGGTTGAATCGAAGAGGCAAGGGGTTATCGTACTTTGTGTAAGGTCAAAACGTGCGTGCGTTGTTTCGGCGTGCCCTTTTTGACCCTCGGGCAAACGCTTTTGAGAAATCGGTTGTCATGAAAGACCCTACGACTCAGAGGAATACAGCCACACGTAAAGAAAGAGGAACACATCTGCCCAGCGTATGGCATTTTTTTTTTGTTTCCTGTTTTGAAAAATGTTTTTCAAGACACCAGAGAGACCAAATACGGGAGGAAGTATGTCGGTGAACACCCTAGCAATTTATCAACTCGCTATCTGTTATTTTCGCACCGTCATTTGGCGACACAGGGATTTGGAGTGTATTAATTACTGAATAGACGCAATATTCGCTGACAAGTTGCCTGATAAGAGGAGCTTTTGATGTCTTTTGGCTGTTTAATCTTGCGATTTGGCGCCCAATTTGTTTTTGAAGGGATTTCTGAGGGTCGCACATACACGGGTATCTATGGATAAATCGTCAACAACGCACGTGTATGTCTGCATGTTTTCAAACTCCAAATCAGTCGAATTATATTAGAATACACAGCGTGCGTTTTCAGTTTCTTACTATTACCCCCTCCCTTTTTGCAATCACACTCAAAACCTTTCAGATTTTTACTTGAATGCAGAAGTTCCCGTAGCTAAATTTAAATTCCAAGTGACGACAGAAAACACAGTGTGAGTTTTCAATTTTTACCCCCCTCCCACTTTTGAGAAAAATGCAATCACACTCAAAACCTTTCAAATTTTTACTGGAATGCTAAAGTTTCCGTACCTTTCCAAGTGGCCCGTGAACATTCTAAGGCACTGAGAGATCGGGGTAGGGGCTGTGTTTATTTGCATGGCTGGCTTTCTAGGGCTTGCTCTACTACCGTGAAATTATAATTAGTGTCAAGGGGGCTGAATGTGTTGTCTAAAAGCTATATAGGCAGCCCATTTCTAATTCTATAAATGCTGCTAAACTTAGACTATACATTCAAGAATATCACGCTTCTTGTATCAAATTGACACAGTCTTTAAGATTTCACACTGGCTTTCTTAAAGATTTTACGTTTGGTAGTTGGGTTTACGGATTTAATCTAGAGTTGCAGGTGCTTTTGAGGTGACGTGCTGACCCGTAGAATAATAGCTGTGTAAACGGACAGTTGCACCCAGCATTAGGGGTCGGTTTTACAAAGCTGTGGAGGGTTATAAGGGTCAGGAGGGAGGGTGCAATCACATCTGTCCTGTATGGGGCAAGCACGTGTCAGGGGGCAAGGGGTCAGGTTAGGGCGGTGGGGTCAGGGGGCAGGGCAGAAGGAATCTAGGGGAAGGGAGGTTAAACTGTTGGCGTAATTTTATGTATAATCAAACTGTGCACGCATATGCACACACAGATATACAACACACATACACATACACACATATACGTACACTCCGACACACATACAGACACACACAAGCATATATACACACACAGAGACGCACACGTACATACACACATATACATGTGTATACGCTCTCACAAATACACACAGAGACACACACACACACACACACACACACACACATACACACAGATACATATGCACACAGACACACACACACACACATACATACATACACGCACATACATACATACATACATACATATACATGCATAAATGAACACACATACAGACGTTAAACACAGATACACACACATGCAAACACATACACACACACACACATGCATACAACACACACACACACATTCACTTAAACACCCATGCCACGTGAAAATACACTTACACAAACGCATACGAATTCTTTGTGTCAATATGCAACGTGGTTTACGGAAGTCTTTCACATAGTAGATTGTTCCTTCTTTCAACCAAGTACGTTAAAATGGTACGCTAAGGTTGACTGTAATTTTTTTTAATTTCAACATGCAAAAATACAATACATAGTGGTGAAGCACTCAAGCGAAATGCTTAATATATATATTAACGTCACCACTGGACATAAAATAAAAATTACATCACAAAACATGGGTATCGTCAAGGTAACAAGAGAACAGAGTTTAGCTTTTAAGATATTATAAATGAATACAGAAGTATAAATCAGTTGTTAAATCGTTTAGTTTCAGGCAGTGTAATAATGAGTATTTGAGAGTTGACTTTAGATGAAAGTAAAGGTGATCCATTAAGTAGCAGATACACAGTAGCACTATCGGATAGACTGTATTTGACTGTATTTGACATACACTTACCTTATCTTATCTAACACAACTCCCTAGCCAGCTGTCACAGAATAATTCATTGCCTTTTCTATTCAAAACCGTGACTCGTCCTTATCTAAGATAGTCAGGCTTAATATTTTATGACCCTTTTATTGCGCGGTTTGCAAAAAAATAGGGAGAGCAAGTCATGGGCAATTGAGCGGAAACCTTTTGAAGCCCGAAAAGATGTCGGTGGCAATTTACGTCGTTGAGAAGTTAATGAAGTCTGAATGATTTTATTATCTCGCTCGCCCTGTCCTCACGACATGGATTAAGAGTGTCTGGGTCAGTTAGACAGTAGAAATGTAGGAAAATGTACATGGACCCAGTTTACACTAAAACAGTGAATCGGTTTGAGCATCGAAACGTTTTAGAAATCATCAAACCGGGTCAATTTTTTTCAGTGGGACCGCTTCAAATCGAATAGATTTACTCCAAAACGATTCCAAAATAAACCACATTGAGGGCCCCATTCACACTCAAAAAATAATTCGGTTTGAGCATCAAAACGTTTCAGATTTCATCAAACCGTTTCATTTTTGCAGTGTGAACGGTCCAAATCGGATAGATTTTCTCCAAAACGATTCCAAAATAAACCACCTCAAGGAGGTTCAATTGGGCCCCCTTCACACTCAAGAAACTGATTCGGTTTGAGCATCAAAACGTTTCAAAATTCATCAAACCGTTTCATTTCTGCGGTGTGAACGCTCCAAACCGAATAGATTTACTCCAAAACGATTCCAAAATATACCACATTGAGGAGGCTCCAGGCCCCATTCACACTCAAAAAATGATTCGGTTTTAGCATCAAAATGTTTCAGGATTCATCAAACCGTTTTATTTCTGCGATGTGAACGCTCCAAATTGAAAAGATTTGCTCCGAAACGCTTAAAAAAAACACATTGAGGACGTCCGTAGTTCAAGACGTTTGTAGTTTTCCGTCGTTTGTAGAACTGTCAATCACAATGCAAGGGATTATGGGTATTAATCTATTGAAATGTAGCCATTGAAAACCTACTGGGCCATTTTCACATACTTGTACATGATATAAAATAAGATACTGTAAGATCGATATCTAGATAATAAAACATACATTCGAAGTCGTAATTCATGTATATATACAATAATACTAGACAACGACATTGGCACTGTGCAGACCACACAATTTGTCCACCAACCAAAGTCCTTATGTGAAGTTTAATAACTGATCAAATTCAATAAATGCATTGCTGTACTGTAACGGTATTTCTTCCGTAAATTTCGTAGCAGTTTTGTATACTGTATTAAAACATATACTCCATTTCAAAATATGATATATTACGTTTTCGTGTTGGACGTCATAATGATACATTAGACATCGACTTTTGACAAATTATCTTGTCTTTTAAACTTGAACTAGATGGAACTATTTGCCGATATGACTGTATGCTTTAGACATATCTCCGATAGTCCTGTCTTTTAAATATCGATTTGGTGACTTGATGAAATGCAGGCAAGTTTAAAGGCATCCAATGCTTTTAAAAAGTCAATCTTTTAATGTAGTCAATTTTCTGGTCAATTTTTAATGTAGTAAGTTTAATCAATCCTATCATAGCATACTGATATCTGTGAGGTAAAAATGCGATGCTGCTTGATTTGATTTTGATTTGATTTATTGAGATGCCCTTTAGCCCCATGAGGGGCTAATCTTCCAGGGCTCGTTAACAGTACAACACATAAAATACAACAGTACAACACATAAAATACAAGCACTGAATACATACAATCATTGCAATTACACATTAAAATAATTGAGGTTGAGGCCAGAGGTCATTTAACTAATTATGACTAAAATCAACAATAAAACTTGTGAGTTACTAAATTGCTTCGAATATATACAATATTGTCAGGGTAAGCCTTTAAGTTCCATAAAGCTGACGTGTCATTTTCCTGAACTGCCTCTCATCAGCTGCTAATACAGTAGTCTTAACTTCACTCGGTAATGCGTTCCACATCTTTACAGATCTGTAAACAAACAAAGCTTACGAAAAATGGTTGCTTGTTTTGTATTGTAGGGTCTAGCTATTTATAGTTGGTACCCAAAACAAAAGAGATGCGTCACGTGGCTTGTTTTTGGTGCTATTTCAAACGCTTTGAGTATGAAATGAACTGGTGTCGAAAAATGTGTTACATTTGTTAAGAATGGCGGCAAATTCCACATTTTCTCATCCAGAATATTTATAGGCCCCCCTTAACAAAAAAAAGGCCATTCTAGCTTTTCTGCAGAAATTATGCAAATGAGGTCCTGATTTGAATACGTTATTAACATAAACAAATACTCAATACCTGCGTTCACCACAAAACGCTTGTCACAGCGTTTTACACACACAAAGAGTTTATTCTGTGTCAAGAGCACATGTTGTTCTGAAGTGCTACTTGACTAAAGCTTGTACACATGTGCTGAGTTCAAGTGGAAGCGCGCGAAAAATTTCAGACGATACTTTTCGTTGCCAAGGCAACGGCACGATACGACAAGGAACAGTACTGACAATGTTAGAGTGTACCTACCATTCATTTGTATTTACGTGTTTTAGTCTTGAGCAAGCTCAGTGGAGCTAAAATTAGCTCAACCGTTGGAAACTAGTTTTTACCAATTTCTTGTACACTGCAATCTTCGTTATTGTTTTTCTTGTTTGAAATTTACCAAATTCTCTATCAAAATAAAATATTTTGTGACCTGGATTTTTAAAGAAAATGATGCTATAATACTAAAAATTCTGGTATCTCCAATCTTTATTCCAAACCTGTCTTCAATTAATTGTAAAGCAATGTTTTTTTACGTCAGCAAATATGAAGCATATGTGAATAAAGAAAAAGAAAAGAAAAGGACAGTTTGTTATCTCTTGTTGATGAAACTTAGATGAGAGTCTTTCACACAAACATGGATACAATAAGATTTGTGTTGGACGTAAACACTAACAGTCAACAGGGCAATTTAATTTAAAAGAACGCAACAAAACATCCTGTGGAACAACATCGTAGCTCTATAGATACAGGAAATTAAATTAAAAATCTTTTCCGCACCAGGTGGTCCATAGGCGGCGCCCATCTCAGGTTCAATAGCTCTTGGGCCACACAGTAGTGCAATCACTACAGCAGGGGGCCAGTCCACTGGTAGTGGTGTGTGTTTAACTCCCATACTCTTTCCTAGAACTATCGCAGAGTGGAACTCACTGTCACCAAGTACAGTAGGGGCATTGTCATTAGATAGCTTTAAACAATGTCTAGAGTTAGAAGTTCAAGGGTTAGGTGTAACAAGTCTATCGGTGTGATATAGCCAGCTGCCGCCGCGCCGCGTGCCTGCGAAGCTGGTGTGTTACGCCGAAAGGCTGTTATACCGGCTATACAGATACAGAAGCTGGTGTGTTACGCCGAAAGGCGGTTATACCGGCTTTACAGATACAGAAGCTGGTGTGTTACGCCGAAAGGTGGTTATACCGGCTATACAGATACAGAAGCTGGTGTGTTACGCCGAAAGGCGGTTATACCGGCTATACAGATACAGAACTGCAAGGCGAACACTACTAGTACTCTACCCATTTGGCCTATGTACCTCTCTTGGTACAAGACAAGCTGGTGAAAAAAATTCTTTATCAGGCGTCAAATCAATGAGGTCAGGCAGTTTAATATCAGAATGGCGTTTATCTAGTGTAATCGGAAAGTAAACTGCTGCAACTCCGCGTTGGCTTCTGTAAGTTTGTTTAGTAGGCGATGCGATAGCAATAGAAAAATAGAAAAATATATTACATAACACGTATATACATGTATGTGACATACACTTGCTTAAGTGAGAACTCAGCCCCAGAATTAGGTGCTATTATCTAAAAAGAGAATGATTATGATTACAAAATCAACATGATTTTGTACAATTTCATCAAAGAAAACATTGAAATCAACCATTAAAATCAAGCAGGTGTTATTTTCTAAAATACTGCATTGCTATGATTAAAAAATCAACATATAAATTTGTAAAATTTCATTAAAGGAAAACGAAATTGACAATTATAGTCCAGTAACAGTCCAGCCCTCAAACTGACCCTTTTTGAATCGAAGCATTTGTTCCAATGATATAATCGAAATATTTAGCATGAGAAAATTAAGTTGCTAACATCATACGGCTGCAAAATTATATTGATGTACACACATACTACAAACATATTTTTAATATCATCCCAGAATTAGTTAAGATCACCTCAAGAGGGCGTTGATTTTTAATTTTACGTATTATAAGTGGCAAAGGGATGATTGACAGATGCCAAAGCCAGTTTTTGTCACAAAAAAAGGAGATAAAAATGAATGATTGTTTTGGGATATTGAGAGGAAACTGTAGTCAATACGCTTATCTTGTAAAGTCTTATCGCGGATTAATATAAAACCCCTGCGGTAAGCCGTCCCTGACTGACACTTGGAGACGTGTATCGTTTGGAACTATTTTGTTGACACAAGGCGCCCTCCACAGAGCAATAAACACTCGGACAGTTTTCCAAGGAGGCACGGTGTTTGTTCGGCATACTTTACACAGGTGTATAAATATCACCCTGGATACAAAATGGCGGAGCCGCCATGTTTTTATCTTCAAGCAGATGTGTGGTGGTTCCGCACGTGTAGTCTGTAGAATTTAGTCTTTGAAACTAGAAAGGTAATATTTGCAAAGGAAACACATAATGTTCCCCTACACAAGCATAAAAAACTACTGCTCTGTTTATTCTTACTTAAACACATTCATAATATATATAGTGACCATCCCCTCAAACTTGCTACATAGTGTAATACAACACCAGTTACCATGGTGACAGCCACCTAGTCCAGGTCATTGACCTACCTTATTTGTTTGGAGAAAAGAAGAAGAAACGGAGCAAAAAACAATAGATTTTCCTTCTGCGTTGGTAAACGTAATGTACAAATTTGAAGACATCATCGGGAATTTTAGATAGATGGATTGATTGGTTGGTTGGTTGGTTGGTTGGTTGGCTGGTTGGTTGGTTAGTTGGTTGGTTAGTTGGTTGGTTGGTTAGTAGCTTAGCTTACTTTCTTGGTACGTCTATTAACCATTAAATGTTGACTATTTATTTGTTAGATGGCCAGTTTACTGGTTAGTTATCTCATTGTTTGCTAGTTTATTGATCAATTGGCTAGTTAGCTGACTATTTGATTGATTGATTGATTGATTGATTGATTGATTGATTTAACTGCAGGTACAGCATGTGGATGTGCGGACCATCACCCCCGCGCTGTTTGGAGTGGTATGTTCCTTCGCCATGATGGGAATCGTCCTGGCAATCGCCATCTTGGTTTTCAATGTCAAACTTCGGCAGCAGCGGTAAATACACTTGTTTATTGTTTGTTTATGTGTTTGTTTATTTCTTCTGACCTACCACTTCGCCATATACACGTTTTGAAAACATCTAAGTATGAAACTGCACTGCTGCTATTTCATTTATTGTTACAAAATATTATTTCATCTATTCAGACTCATAAAGATGTCAAGTCCGAACTTGAACAACCTGATAATTGGCGGGAGTTTGTTACTTTACGGCGCCGCCATCTTGTTTGGCCTGGACCGTTCTTTGGTGGGAAGTTCGGATAGAGCCCTACTGCACCTTTGTCAGGTAAGAGAAAAAGGGAGCAAATGACTCAGTAAAAGATGAAAAAGATTAAAATGAGCTCACAAGCTTATTATTAGAAAACGGGAGCATCTTGTTGGTGTAAACATGCAAAAATTGTGAACTTCAGACGATTTTTGTGACTGATCGTGGAACGAGAATGTTATGCTGACGTCATGTGTGGTCTCCTTCCCAGGTCAGGACGTGCTGTGTGGTGGTCGGCTTCACCCTTGTTTACGGTTCTCTCTTCAGTAAGACTTGGCGAGTCTACAGAATATTTCGCAGCTCAACAGCGAAGCGTATGGTATGTCCGCTACATCTCTTAACACCGGCGCTCTAAACCGTCCCGAATATGCAAATTACACGGGCAAAACTTTGATTTTTGCGAGAAAAAAGGATCTCGTGACAAGGCGAGAGGTTTAGGACGGACAAACAAAATGTTTTGCATACTTTTCTGTCGTTTGAAGTCTGTGGGAGCGTGACTTCTTTTCATCTGGTCAGTACAAAAAAGGCGAGAGTGAAATCAGTTTTTGGGACGAAGCTTTGTATAGAAAAGAGTGTGACAAAACTGCATGCACACGTGTTGACAAAGCACTTTGCACCTTTCTTTAAATTGTCGGTACCGTGTCTCAACGTTTGGATGCGGTTAGTTTAGTAAGGGTACTCTGCGTTCTTGTTGCACATATACACTGTTTTCCAATATATTCTATAATTTTTAAAACTTACAAGAATTTTACTTGCGTCTGCATGAAAACAGGTTTATTTATTGACATTGTCAAATTTCATAGTTTTTCATTTCTTTGATTTCTAATTAAAATTTTGTTTTTATCTTATAATATCCCGCTTGGAGTGAAACAAGGCACGGACAAAATTGTTAACGGTAAAATTTTGAATGAAAGTGCCTTCAAGTCAGACACTAGCACGCTATTCGGATGCCTCTCGTTCATCGCCAATATTTTTCAACTTGTCAAAGACCACGCGCGGCACCCGTTCAATTGTTTACCCTCAGCCTACCGTTAGTAAACATAGCGTCAGGTTCGGTTACGTTACATTTCAAAATACCGACCGTTGACAAACGACGTGTTGTGGTAAGACGCCAACCGTGGACTACATTCAGTCTTGTTAACGGTTCGGAAAGAGAACATACTTTCGTATAGGTCAAATTTGACCGTGTCCATGACTTTGCTTGAAAGGGTACAATTTAGGTAATGACTGCTTTTAAAGGCATCGAATGCAATTTCAGGGCGGCAAAACGAACAAAAATACCAGTACTCTGAAAGAGAAAATATGTTCGATATATCTTAGGCCACGCTTAATTTTATGGATGACATCCGCGCGCGCATTGATTTTCTCCTGTTCTCAAAAAAAACAAACAAAAACAAAAAAAAAAGATCACGTCCACTGGTCTCTGGCCTGGCCTGGTAGTCCTGGTAGTTAGCGACAACACGGAGCCGGGCACCCAGGCCTTGGCTAACGAAGCTCCACGACTCAAGACCTCAGTACATACGTACAGTACCGATTCATACATTCCGCAAAAAGTCAGGTCAGGTGCCGGCTTTTCGTATACATCGCTATGTACGTCGCAAATTCACAATACCAGCTTTGTATTCCTGTGGTTAAGGAGCATTTTTATTTTTGGCCGGAATTTTTTTTTTATTCGCCAGCGCGCACTAGTTTGGGGGTCTTCAGAGGATGTCATCCATAGAATTAGGTCGGTGTGGCCTTACAACATTTTTCTCATCATTTCATACTTGAAACATTTAAAATAGCCCATAAACAAGCTACGTGAGGCGTCTCTTTATTTTTGGGTACCACCCAATAAACAATTAGAACCATGCAACCGTTTTCCGTCAGCAACATCGCATTTTCGCCTCATAGATACAGTATGCTATGGGATTCATTTTACTACATTAAATACAAGAATGACCAGAAAAAAAATCAGTTTTGCTACCCTGAAATTGCTTCGGGTGCCTTTAACCATTAAAACGTCAAGTACGTGAAATACACCTTTGAAATAACAGTATTCATTCCAAGTCTGTCATGTTGATTTTGGACCTCAAGGCTTTACGACTTACTCATAACAGGGTGTCACAGAAGGCTCACAATATCTGTTACAGGGGGGTCGTAAATAATGTCAATTAGGGCTGAATTGGCTAAGGGAACCAGAAGTGTATATTTTGTATGTCAATCAGGACATTATATTTCTCTGGGATAGTAGACTCGCTTTGAATAATAGAAGAGTATAAAAAAGTATCTTTTATACTGTGAATATTCAATGTGGGTTCGATTGTATACTGTACCTCTAAAGAATGACTTATGTTTCTAACCTATCCAAGATGTATGCTGAAGAAACAAACAAACAATTTTGTTTTCTTCAAGGTCATTCGGGACGACAAGCTCTTCGCAACCGTGGCAGTGATCCTGCTAGTTGACGTCCTCATACTCGGGCTCTGGTTTGGTCTGGACCCTCTGAAATGGGAAACTGTAGGAGTCCCAGTAAGAAAGGTGAGTACCGTGTAGTGGGGACACCTAGCGTAGTGAAGAGGAAGTGCAGCATTTGTGACTCCGTCATGTACTCTTGACTAGTGTTTATAATTGATAAAGATGCACATTGCCAGCTTATGGGTTACGTATTCAGGGTTGCCATGTTTTGTTTTCACAATCCGTTCATGGGGGCAGCTATGTTGTTTACCTGATGCATCCAGCCAACCACAGTGTCCGTTCTAGCCACCTGACTCATGCCAACGAATCACACTGTTTCACCAATAGCGCCGTCGTGTTGTTTAACGTGAGAGGCCTTTCATCGTTGGCTGTTATATTAGATGCGCTTTCCATATAATTTCTAATATTTCCGATCTTGAAAACTCAAAATTATTATTATTTGCAGACGTTGGACACAGTGTCGGATAGCGTAGCGACAACAAACGTCATCTGGGTACAGAGATGTTACTCGGACAACACTGAAGTCTGGATCTCAGTATTTTACATTCTAAAAGGTTTGATTTGATTTGATTTATTAGGCTGAATAAGACATATGTTTACAGCCAGGACTGTCCAACTAGCCGGAGGCTATTATAAAGGGCTAGCCCTCACAACAAGAACATAAACAATTCGGAACAGGTAACAGTTAACAGTGTCGGTTACACTTCAGATAAACATATTATTACATAACAGATGTTGCGGTCTAACGTTAACAAGCTATGAGATCCGGCCTTGTCGTCATGCGTTTACTATAATTAAATTGTGTACTATATAAAAGGTCTTCTGCTCCTGTACGGAACCTACCTGTCCTGGGCAACGCGGGGGGTCAACTTTCCCGCCATGAACGACGCCAAGGCCATCATCCTGAGTATCTACTGCTGCGTGGTGCTTGTCGGGATTGCCACGCCCCTGACCTTTCACCTGGACCAATGGCCTGACGCGGTGTACGCATGCGTGGCAGGGGTGTTGGTCGGGTGTACGACCGTGACCTTGTGTCTGCTGTTTTTGCCTAAGGTATGTCACGTGACGTATTTGATTTCATTTATTGAAATTGCAACAGTAGAATACATGTGGGACACAGGCAGCTGTTGCTGGTGTTGTGTTCCACACATAGAAACAAATACAGGACAGACAATACTCATTTTCACTTGAGTTTAGTGGGGAAAGTCGTGTTAAGTGCCTTTCCCAAGGGCACAAGATCGGTGGTATGTCAGGACTCGAACCCGGGACCTCTTGGTTCCGAGTCCAGCACGCACGCTGCCTTTGCGCCACACGACCCCACGTGACGTATTGGATGGCTAGGGAGGGTGGGAAAGAGATGGATAAAGAGGAAAAGATTAAAATAACGGAAGAAAAGAGAAATAAAAGAAGAAATGAAAGATGTAAGGCTAGAGAGTCGTATAATGCCATGTTTAGGCAGACACTGCAATGGATACTTAAAGAAACATAAACAGAATATACGAATGAAAGTAAAAAACGACAGACTGACAGAATGAATTCATGAAACATAGGATAGCAGAAAGGAAAATCTTACATATGTTTGAGTCGACTTTTAAAAAACTATGAAATACTAATATTATACTAGGTGCATACAGAGACAATGAGGTAAAAAAACCTCATGAGTTAACACCGGATTCCCTTTTTTGTGCAGGTAAAACTGTGGAAGGAATGGACAAACAACAAAAGTTTGAAGAGTTTAGGATCACCTCAGTTTCTCAACAAATCAAGTCACCAATGTAACAGCCCGCCTAATCCAGCACCAGAGACTCCTAGCGGCCAGGCAAACCACTGCAACCACAGCAAAGATGGCGCCGACGGTAACCTAGCAACGGGAGCGAAAGAGGACGCGTTGTCATCGAAAAGAGCCAGTAGGACGTCACTGATACTTGACACTGAGATGGCGAAGTTACTTGAAGAGAACCGCACACTTAGAAATCTCTTGAAAGAGGTAATGGCATTTCTTAGGATTTTTTCTCCTTGTGCAAAGCTCTCCTATGCTCGAATTCCATCTAGCAAGACGCAAAAGTTATCTATTACATAGTGGTCTGGAAATAATGTCCAACTGGAGATACAGAAGACTATTTTATGCTTTTTTGTTGTCATTCAGAAACGCTACATTCTGCATGTATGGACCCTGGCCTTGGTACTGAAATGGGGTTCCATTTGCAGCGACATCTTTTAGATATTAGAAAAGACAGATAAATTGATACTTCCTCCTGAAAAGAATATTTCAAAGTTTTCAATAAGGCCACATCGACTTAATTTTATGGATGACATCCACGCGCGCATTGATTTTCGCCTGTTCTCAAAAAAAAAAGATCACGTCCTCCGAGGCTCTGGCCTGGCTCTAGGCCTGGGTAATCCATGGTAGTTAGCGACAGTGCGGAGCCGGTGGTAACTCTGGAGGATGACACCAATGCCCAGGCTACCGAAGCTCCACGACTCAAGAGCTTAGTACATTATACATATGTACAGTGCCGACTCGTAAATTCCGCAAAAAGCCAGCATGTGCCGGCCTGTCGTATACGTCGCTATGTACTGCCTCAAATTCACAATACCAGCTTTGTTTTCCTGTGGTTAACTAGCATGTTTATTTTTTTGCCGGAATTTTTTTTATTCGCCAGCGCGCACTTGTTTGGGGGTCTTCAGAGGATGTCATTCATAAAATTAAGCCGGTGTGGCCTAATAGTTTAAGCTTGTTATATTTCATCGTTATTATTTCTGCAAATTCTAAGATTATTTTCTATCCATGCATCAATAGAAGGAAACCAATATCAAGGCTTTGCAAGAGAGAGTGGCATCAGCGAAGGATAAACTGCTTAACCTAGTCGCCCAAGTGAATCCAGATAGCGGGTTTGAATCAGCATCTACTGTACAGCGCGAGGACAGCGTCGAGACCAACAAAGAATCTACGAACAAAATGGCCGCCATGTTTCCTGGGGGTCAGAGGTCAGTTCTAACGCATGCGCAGTCAAGAGACGTGCTAACCCAGCGGCATGATGGGAAAGGAAGTGCTAAAATATCATCTACTTCCTCTTCGGACACGAGTAGCCTATCATGTACCAGGGAAGCAGCGATGAGTTCTCCTGTTACCGCAACACCCAATAGAACGCTGCGGTACATCCAAGAGCAAGGCAACGCCATCGCTGAGGATCTCAAATACGCGGACGGTTTGTTCACGATGTCGTTGGACGCCAACGGTTACCCGCGCAAGGGCGACCGGGACTTGTACGACTTGTACCGAAGCGAGGGAGCCTGGGACGACTACTACTACGACCTCTCCGACTCGGATTTATCTGCATACGACATGATGTCGGACGACTGTAACAGGACGACGACTTTTGGCGGGAGAACGCAGTCCACCATCCTGACCGACAGTCGTCTGTCGCCCGTGTTTACCGGCATGGGAAACCCCAATTTCCGATCACGTGACAGCCTGTCGTCTCTATCGTCTGACGATGACGACGAAGACGACCTGTTGAAATTTTTCCCGCCGCCTCAGTCTATTCTCAAAAACACCCCAGTACGTACTACTCAACCAACGCGTACTAACACACAAACTGTAGCTTCTATCAACAGAGCAGGAACGTTTTCAAACTCGAACCATGTCAACCCATGGCATAACATGAAAAAAGCTATAACCCCAAATAGCGTAAAATGCAACGTAAAACAGACAGGCAAGACCACGGAGTTAGTATTATCTCCCGTAGCATTTTCGTCATCATACCAAGATACATTAGTTTAATCAAGAAAGAAGATAAATAATTGAATAGCCTCCTCTGAACAAAATGATTGAAAACACTTTTATTTCCTGTTCAAGTGGAAGTTTTGCGAGACATCTTTTAAACTGTATTCATGATCTGTTTATATTTAGTTATGTATATGTTCATTGTTTAAATTTCCATCAAATGGAATGTATAACGAAGGTTCTGTATCACTATCTGTATGTATAACGTTACCTAATGATTTTATTTTTAAAAGGGACTTAAAGGGGCATTATATGTAACATTTTGCATCAAAAATTTAAATATTCTAGGCCATGTTGATTTGATTATATGGATGACATCCTCCGGGAGCCCCAAAACTGATGCGCGCGTGCGAATAAAAAAAAGTTTTGCAAAAAAAAAAAGTTCTTTTCATTATGAAATCTACGTGGTTATGAGGGTTGAGCAAATGGCACAGAATATGTTATGGGGAATAATCTACTCTTCGAATTCATTTCTTTACATTTTTGTCTTTTTTCCTTTGATTTTGGCATTCTACGACATTGTATCGTTTCTAAATGTTTTCCTTGCAACTTATGGTATATTTTTGCTCATTTAGCAACTGTTTTGCACGATTTACAGTATGGTTGAAAACTTTTTTTTTTTTGGAAACGACCGAAAATTAATGCGCGCGCGGATGTCATCCATATAATCAAATCAACATGACCCTATTTAAAACTCATTCGCGTGTCTGTAATTTACCTCTACTTTTTCGCATATCTGTGCAATTTTATCACATTTCTGACATTTATGGTTGGTGCTAAAACAGCCCACATAAGGCGCACTCATTTTGTAGTACCACCACAAACTACCAGAATGTAAACAAACATGGCTAACATCTGAGTTTCAACTTTTAAGCACACTCGTAAGGCGTTACATTTTGGCACCTACAAATCCTGAATTGCACTTATTTGAAATGGAGTAGGGTTGGTTAAACTTACTTTGCATAGAAATTGCCGGAAAATTTCATTTTTCAGCGTATTAATGTTAAAGGCATCCAATGCGATTTCAGAGCGGCAAAACTAGAAATGTTCTGAATAAGGCAATCTTTAGCTACACATTACAGCATTTTATACTTTGGGCATTTAGAACTAACTGCAGAAACAAGCCCCAAAATGATTCCTTAATTTTCTGGGTTGTACCCTAAAAATCAACCTAGGGCGCCCTTCGGTAACCATTTTCCGTCAGAATTTTGGTACTTTTTGCTCAAATAAATAATATTTGAGCATTGGGACAGTGTGGTTTTAACTCCCTATGTAGATAAATGACTAGAATATTGGCCGCGAAAAATCGGGTTTCCAAGCCCTAAAAACTGCACTGGATGCCTTTAATAATGCAGGAAAATAAAACATTGGTGTTCTGTGAGATTGACCCTGCTTAGTATGGGTGGTCCAAGATCCACTGCCCAACCGCAAGGTATGCCGGGAAGGTTTCCTCAGCCGTGGGTATGATCTGGTCGGGTGGAAGTAGGAATCCGTAAAACCCGGTGTCGCGCAGCTCCACGGTGTAGCTGTAGATCACTCCCGCCTTGTCATAGGCCCAGTCCCGGGCACCTCCAGACACAGCGTCTGTTACATAGAAAGTTATTGATTTCAAGTTCATTCCCGAGAGCTACTTGCAAACTGGACACTAAGTACAGAATGGTAGCCTCTACCAGGCACTGCGTATCACTGGAAAAATAATAGAAATTGGCCGAAATAAATGGATAGTTTACCGTGGGTCGCATATTGGATCCTGTCTGGCCGGCCAGCTCCCCTGGTAGACTATCTCTTTATTTTGGCCAATTTCTACTATTTTTACAGCGATCCGCGGTGCCTGGTAGAGACTAACAGAATGTATCAAAGAATGGTTTGTGCTAACATAAGTTTCTACATCTACTAATCTAACTTTCTATCTCTGCTTTAAAGTAACGCAATGCGGCCTCTAGCCCAAGTATCATAGTACAATATAAACTTACAGAGAATTTCAATGGAGCGTCCGACCCTGTACTGCTCTCCATGTACTGCTCTGCTGGCGCTCTCCGCTGCTATAGCCATGGCATTCTGAAACGGTAAATGATCTGTAATGACCGGGCGCCATCTTGGATCCTTGCTCCACCTACCACCTGCATCTACCTACCTACCTGTCTGTCCGCCCGCCCGCCCGTCCACCTACCTACCTACCTACCTACCTACCTACCTACCTACCTACCTACCTACCTACCTACCTACCTACCTACCTACCTACCTACCTACCTACCTACCTACCTACCTACCTACCTACCTACCTACCTACCTACC